TTTGACATTTAGCCACATCTCAGACTCATCTCGGCGTTAATGTTGTTGGTATGCATGAGAGATTCACATGTTCACCATTACGGTTTGCAGCTCCAGTTATTTCATTAGATGTTTCCCAGACAAGCAGAGCAGTGTCTGTCCTGCTGCTACGGACACGTGAACATGAGATCACGGTCACATCTGATGGATCAGAATATCAAGGTGTAGGAGAACACCATCATTTGGAGCCTTAGATTTATGCACGTTTCTGGTGTCTGCAGCACCTTCATAGCAGTTCACAGTGGATGCATTCTTGCAAAGGTTCGTGAAAGACATCATTATTCATTAATCCGGTCATTGTAATATTACTTTACAGGGCAGGTCTGAATTTTTTGATAATTACAGCATTACTTTAAACCAGAAATACTAGAAATGAAAGCCTTTTCAAATATGATTTAATGCATACTGAATGTGCATGTTTTTGCAGTCTACACAAATGTGAACTGGCTTCCGAGTATGCAGATGCATGGCATCACAAACGTTTAACTAATTCTGTGGTATGTTTTTGACAGTCAGGTGGAGTGGTTATTGGTGACCAACATGGGTGCTAGTTGGACACAGAGCTGGAAGGAGGAGTTCAAAGTTCACAAAAGCCACCTTCTCACCTCTAAACCAGAGCTTCTGCTTCAGCTACGGGTGAGTTTGAGTCACTAAACTTCATGCACACTGACTCAATGATTTGTGTGGATGAAGACAAAGTCAGTTCAAACACACATATTCATGATGGAAACATTGCTGGAAGAATCAGGCCAAAGGTTTTTGCTGGTCTAACAGCTCTAAACTACTTGGTCTGATACCAAGAGAAAAGCAGATCTTCTTGGTTGTAAGAAAAACAGATCCACTGGACTACAGTAGTTATGTCAGCAATGCCACCAGTTTCGTTCTTATAATTTACGTGTAAATAAATGCATATGTGTAAAATATAGGTTAAAATGTAAATGTGAGTTTCCAAAATCCATCATATTGAAACATGAAATTGAAATAACTTTTTTTGTTTGTTTGTTTGTTTGTTTGCAGTGGGATATTCCTCCATTGTTGTGGCTTCTGTACAGATGTTTTATGCTGCTCTACACCATCAGCTGGTTTATCTCACACACCTAAATTCCTCATTTTTCTCAGCCATATCTCATACTGCAACAGCTACCTCTCAGGAAAACCAAGCCAGTAAGAGCAGATCACTAAATCCACGTCATCAAATCAGAAGACATTATGCTACAGGTTTCTGATTCTTTTGCCATCTCATTTCCTCTAGCTGTCCCAGACACTTCATCTTATCAGTACGATGAGTCTTCCGGGTATTATTATGACCCCAGCACTGGCCTGTACTATGACCCAAACACACATGTACGTATGCCATGCACTTTTCAACAAGGCAATACTGTGTTTCATCTGAGTGCGTGTAGAGGGTTCTAAGTAATATTGTTTTTCTGTAGTACTACTACAATTCCCAGACTCAGCAGTATCTGTACTGGGACGGGGAGAAGCAGGCCTATGTGCCCGCAGTGGACGCCAACAACGCGGCTCAAAGCGCTGCTGCCTCCATGTCCACTCCTCAGAAGGAGAGGAAAGAGAAGCCTAAAAGCAAAACAGCTCAGCAAGTAATAACAATTCAATATGCTTGGAAGCTTTTAAAGTACTACTGTGTTCTAAGACTAAACAGAGTTCATTTTTTGCTTGCTTGTCAATACAACAGGTGAAAAAAAATCAAATAGACTGTAGGGCATCCCGATATAGAAATACAATTGTCATGTGGCTTAATGGTCAAATTGTGATGGCTGTGATTTAATTATATAAATATGCACTGGCAATTTCGGGAGTGCTTGTTCATTTACATTCGTGCAATTAGGGGTGTACGATATGACGATTTTTGATCGTGGACGATTGAAATGTCTCTACAATCTGCTTTTGAAGAAATATCGTAGTATCGTGCTACAGTGCACCTTCTATCAGCTGCAGTTCTGGTGCCTTCTCAGTCTCAATATACTGTACAACGCGACATACATTCACTTCAAATGTTACCTCAGCAGTAGACTTGCACTCACGGGACACTGCACTTATTTTCAATCCAAAAAGTTCATTATTTGCATGTGTTTTAACGCCTCGCCGGTTAAACATTTCATTCGCGTGCTATTCTAACATGTGCTTTTTTTCTGAGCACGTAACGGTACACTTGCAGCGTGCAAATGTACAGCGTATGATTACTGGACTAATTAATCTTTCTTGTCTAATACTGTCAAAAACACACAAGGTTTACATATAAACACAGTTGGTTATGTCTAAAGTGAAAGTAAACAGTTGAGAGAAAAACGGATGCATGCCTGTATATTAGATGCGTGCAGGTCTTAAAGGAACAGTAGTAAACGTGCTGCCGCTTGTCATTAAAGGGATAGTTCACCCAAAAATTTAATTTGTTATTATTTACTCCCTCACATGTTGTCCCAAACCTGTATTAATTTCTATCTTGTGCTGAACACAAAAGAGGTTATTTTAAAGAATGTGGGTAACCAAAAAGTAGCTGGTCCCCATTGACTTTGATAGTAGGGAAAAAAATCCAATACTATGGAAGTCAGTGGGGACCAGCAACTGTTTGCTTAAATTCTTCAAAATATGTTCAACAGAAGAGAAGAAAAGCTCATTCAGGTTTAAAACAACTTGAGAGTGAGTAAATGAATTAATTTGAGTGAACTATCCCTTTAATGTTAATAAAACAAAAAAAAACTCCAAGAGAAATTAGCAAATGGCTGCAATATAACAAAGAGTGAAAAATTTAAGGGGGTCTGAATACTTTCCGTACCCACTGTGTGTATATATATATATATATATATATATATAACATTAACTTTTTTTTTTTTTTTTAAAGAAAAAAATGTTTTTGTATGGTTTTAGTTTGTTAAATATAACAACCCTGCGTTCCATGTTGAATATGCTAAATAAAATCAAGATACATTTTAATATTCTTGAGAGGTGTTATTTCGCAATAAATGATGCTGTGAGCGTTGTGATGACCTGTGCTGTTCCACATGCAGTGGGAAAACTGAACCCAAATAAATTGCAAAATATGCAAATATTTTGTTGTTGTTTTTGCAACTCAGTAATTGTATACAGGTGTGGCAGAAGGTTAATTTTGAATCCTGGTCACACCTGAGTAGCTTTATGTGCAGATACTTGACATAACTAAGACATGAATCTTTGTCATCTCGTCTGCAGGCTCAGTTGAGAATGAGGGGAGCTGGTCTGGGAACTAAAGGAAGCAACTACAGCCTCTCTGCTTCAGATACTCATCTTTATTTGACCCTCTAACTGTAGCACTCTCTATTCTAATTCTATTCTTTAAAAAAACTAACTAGGCTATAGCTTCTCTAATCTTTTTGTATTCTATCTATTTGTTTCCTTGTTATTTATTATACAATTAACAAAAGAAAAAAGGCCTCTAACAGCTTGCTCTATTCTTTTTCTATTCTATCTGTTTTCTTTTTTATATATAATGAAAAAAAAACTTGCTAATCGTGAATTATTCATTGATTGTCATCGGGTAAACTTTTTAAAGGCCATTTTGACAATTATTTTCGGAGCGCGTGTTCGAGGTTACGAAACGTAACGGAACGGATAGCATAGATATGTATATAGCCTACCTGTTTTTATGCATATAGCCTACCTGTTTTTATGCAGTCTATGGAATATATATATATATATATATTTGTAAGTCACTTTGGATAAAAGCGTTTGCTAAATGACTAAATAATAATAATAATATATATATATATATATATATATATGACAGATAGAGCTCGATCGTCATACTGTTGCTATGGTTACGCGGCGAGCGCGACTTCGGTCAGCGAGCGTCATTTTAGTCCTCAAAGCCAAATATTTCACACCCTTACACAGTTTAATATGAAATGCTATTTATTTATTTACATCTTTCCTTCCTATAATCGAAATGTCAAACAAAGCGTTAATTGATGTGCTATTGTAATGGGTAATTAATTTATAGTTTTTTCCTGTCTACTTTTGTTTTTGTAAAATCCCTTTAAATAACAAACGCCAGTTCCCCATGACATCATTTTTTACAGGAAGTTACACCATTTTGGCAGGAAAATAACAGCGCAAAGATAAGTATTTGGTGAATTCTGATATTTTGTGCTATTAGTTGGTTTGTTTCACTCCAAACGTTCCATTCCGTTTGATAAATTGTAAACTGTCAGTCCCTCAGTTTCCAATGAAATCCTAAGCTCTTCAGTCCTGTCAGAAAACCAGTGAATCATGTAATTATGCAAATAATCACAAGTTCAATGAAATTACAATTTATTTGTTTTAGTTATTGCCTGAGCTTGACTGGAACATATTTATGACAGGCTGGTGTGTAAACTTATTTTATTTTTAATTACACGTATTTAGAATAGCCTACTTGAGTCTTATTGGTCAATCCGCCATCCACCGTAACTCATCGATCTTCAGTCCGCTCATCCGGGTAAATGAAACAATAAATATAGGTAACATTAAAGCCATTTTGTGTGAAATACAGTGGGGTAACAGATTTTGTCAGATTTGGTGACCCTGCTGTAGCCTATATCTGCAGCTGTTCATATCAGAGCAAAGTGAATCTGGGTAACATTAAAGGCAGGGTATGTGATTTTTCAAAAACACTTTAG